ATTGAAATCATTCAGTTTCTCAGTCTTCTTAACGCCTCCTCCACTATGCCTCTAACGTACAAGGCTCGCCACGTTGATGAATTTGAGCGCGAGCTGCCCCCATCCCCGTATGCCATAACAACCCACTTGCACGCTATGGGAAAGAGGCAGAGTGAAGGAAGAGGTGTTAAACACAAGGAAGGGAGGAACATAAAAGGAAAACCGATAGGCAAAGGGAGAAAAAAACAAAAAAAGTGACCCAAACATCTTCTTTCTTTCACTGCATTCTTCTTTCTTTCACAATTTTGCAGTTTTGGTGAAGAGTCTACCACGTTCGCTTTTCAGCGCACCTGCACTTCCTTCTTCATTTTTCATCTTCATTTTCAGCCTTCGGACTTTTCTTTTGAGGGTGTTAGGGTGCAGGGTACAAACAAAGCAAGATGACACAAACTTATGTTCTTCTTTTACTGCATTCTTCACAGTTTTGCAGTTTTAGTGAAGGTTTCCCCACCTTTGCACATTCTTGTACACTCTTTTCAGCGCACTTGCACATTTTTGTGAGGGTGCAAGGTAAGTCTTAGTAAGACCCTCACGACAGATAGGACAACTGTGATAAGGATGCGGGCAATGGTAGCAGCCCTCCCGCTGATCTACAGGACGAAAACCATTTAGGTAAGCAACTTCGTCACAACAGGAGCTAGGGCGGCTAGCATTAACCATACCTCTGAAGCATGCACGAAAGAGGGCATGCCGGTTGTAGGCCATGACGAGTGTGGGGCGTTCACCATCACAGTTAAGTGCACATTCACTATAGCGCACGCAGACACAGATGGGACATATTGCATCTAGATGTAGAGGATGTTCACAATCCGGATACAGGTGGCATCCCTGCCGGCAGCGGACCCGAAAAATTATACGGTTGTAGTGATGTCGACAAAGTCGATGCTTTCCACAACCAAGTGTAACTGTGTCAGTGATCTCACAAAGGAGGTCACAAGGTGTTAGTGCAACATGTGGGGGAATGAAGACTAAAGTAGGCACGGTGACAGACATGGAGGTAGGCACGGAGACAGACACAGAAACGGGCATGGAGACAGGTGTGGAGGCAGGCACTAAGACAGGTGCAGAGGCGGGGACGAAAGTACACGTAATACCCACAGAGTCAGTAATCTGGAAGGAGACAGACACAGAAACAGGTACGGAGGCAGGCACAGAGATAGGCGTAGAGAGAGAGAGAGAGAGAGAGAGAGAGAGAGAGAGAGAGAGAGAGAGAGAGAGAAGAGAACAGGTAAGTCTCCAACCTCACGACTGACCTCATGGTACTTCGATCGAAAGATTGAGCAAAGTTGAATGATTCTACCTCTGGAACATGGAAATATACACTGCCACGTGTGTGTGTGTGTATTCGGACAACAACGTGCCGTGGTGGAAAAACTTCCAGGTGGTGCGCAGCCGTTTTCGATTTTCCCCAGCGCGTACGAAGTCTCTGAAATGAAAGCAAGGCGCACGGCCGTACTTCTCCCCGCGTCTATACTCTTTCACCGCGCCGCACCGCTGTTCGAACTCACGCGAACAGGAAAAACAAAAAACTACATGCTGTGCAAATTCCCCCTGGCCCCACACGCACCACTGTTAGAACTAGTACCAACGGGGAAAAAAAAGTTGCATTCCGTGCAAGTTCCCCGTGGGCCTGCACCTTGTCCGCCGCCAATGTCCCGGCACAGGGCCCCCGGGTTCACAGGGGCATCACACAAGACCCGCTATACCCTTTATTTTATAGATAAAGGCAAAAGTATGTCGAAGTTATTAGGGAAAATTTGTCTGGCGCCCCTGTAATTTGCGTTATTTCGCGTCGCGCCCCTCCAACGGCCGATTTACCCTGTCGCGCCCCTCTGAGCAGGGTTCAAATTTTCCATAAGTCCCCGGTGTCGTTTGGGCCTCATCTTTTCGTTACGCCCCTACCGGTACCGGTCCCTAATTTGCGGGATGCCCCTACCGGTACCATTTGCTGCCAAGCCATTTGCTGCTATGTCATCTGCTGCCACGTCATCTTCTGCTACGTCATCTGCTGGCAGTCCATTTGTTACCAAGCCATTTGCTACTACGTCATCTTATGCCACGTCATCTGCTGCCAATCCATTTGCTACCAAGCCATTTGCTGCTATGTCATCGTCTGCTGCCTCATCAGCTGCTGTCACGGCATCTGCTGCCAAGTCGTCCACAACTGCCACATCTTCTACTGCTTTCCCAGATGCAGGGGCGGCTCCCTCTTCCGACAAACCAAAGGATGTTAGTGGTGGACAGTCTGAGTCAACGACGAGGGCAATGGCGACCTCGATGAATGCAAAAGCGGGAAAGAAGAAGTCTGGGACGAAAATCAGGGGGCGGGCGTTGGCTCTGGCAAGTCAGTATCTCGTCTCATCCGAAGGTTACGATCTATGGAAGAAGATGATGAAGGAGGAGAGGGGTGTTGTGATGGCGCTGCGCGCCTATGGCTGGTTGGTGGACTGTACAACGTTCC